GGGAGATGGGGAGGGGGCTCGGAGGAACCGGGAGGGGGCGGGAGATGGGGAGGGGGCTCAAGAAAGGAGGCGGGAAGAAAATGGGGGCTCCGCTGGGGGTCGGTGGGTACCGACGAGGGCTGGGGTGGCTCGGGGTCGGTACCGGGGAGCACGTGGGGACCGGGGCCGGTACCGGGGGAGGGGTCTGGGAACGAGCAGGATCGGCCGGGGAGGGGGGGGCAGGACCGGGCCGGGGTCACCGGAGGGGGGTTCGGGCAGGGGGGGTTCCTTGGATCGGTCCCGGTGCCGGTCCCGGGGGATCCTCACGGACCGTGTTGGTACCGGGGAGGGTTTGGGGGGGCACCCGAGCCGGTCCCGGTACCGAGAGGCGATGGGGACCCCCCGGGCCCCCCCCAGCCGGGCGGTGCCGGTACCGGGGGGGTCTCGGTGTTTCCGCCCCGGGAGCGTTCCCGGTTCGTACCGGCGTGGGGGGTACCGATACCGGGACCGGGGACCCCCCGGGACCCCCCGGGACCCCCTGAATTCCCGGGCAGCACCGGGATGAGCCGGTCCCGAAACCTCCGGGCCCCCCAAATCCCGGGAATTCGGGGGGTTCCGGCGGCGCATCCGGACCGGAGGCACCGGGACCGGCCCCGGGAGTGGCGGGGGTGGCTTTCCTGTCCCTCCATTGTGTTCAGCAATCCCGGGATTAACCCGATCCCGGCTGGGCTGGACCCGGCCTGAGTCGGGATTAACCCGATCCCAAATGATTTCATCAAAACCAGGTCGGGATTAACCCGATCCCGGTTTATTTGGACCCAAAACCAGGTCGGGATTAACCCGATCCCGCTTTATTTGGACCCAAAACGGGTCGGGATTAACCCGATCCCGCTTTATTTGGACCCAAAACGGGTCGGGATTAACCCGATCACGGTTTATTTGGACCCAGAACCGGTCGGGATTAACCCGATCCAGGCGGATTTAGACCCGGTCCTGGCAGGCCCCGACTCCCTCCCGCTGTCCCCATCCCACGGGATATTCCCATCCTGTTGTTTATTCCCCAAATCCATCCAAACACCCCCAAAATCCCATCCCCTCTTCCCCGATCCGCTCCAGGCCGGGCTTCCACGCCATTCCCACACCCCAAATCCCTATTTTCCCACCCTTTTTCCCCCCAAAACCCGATTTTCCTCCCGCTAAATCCCTATTTCTGCACCCCAAATCCTGGTTTTTCTCCCTCAAATCCCGATTTTTCCCTCCAAATCCCGGGTTTTCCCCCCAAAATCCCAATTTTTCCCCCTAAATCCCGGGTTTTCCCCACCAAATCCCGGTTTTTTCCCCCTAAATCCCGGTTTTTTCCCCCTAAATCCCGGGTTTTCCCCACCAAATCCCGGTTTTTCCCCCCTAAATCCCGGGTTTTCCCCACCAAATCCCGGTTTTTCCCCCCCAAATCCCCATTTTCCCTCCCGGGTTTCACTTGGCAGCGGCTCGGGGTGCAAAGGTGGCGCAGGAGGGTGGCGGCCGAGCCGAGGTGACATCACCCGGTGACATTCCCGGTGACATTCCCGGTGGCATTCCCGCTTGGAATGAGTCAACAGCGCCAAGCGCGGCACCGGGGATGTCCCGGCTCCAGGGATGTGACACGGGGGTGACACGGGGGTGACACGGGGGCGTCCCCACGCCGAGCTGGGGGAATTGCGACATTCCCGGCCGCTTTCCTGCGAAACTGGGCAGGAACTGGGCAGGGCCGGAGGTGCCCGGACGGGATTTTCCGGCTCCCGGGCCGTGCCCGGTGACCGTGCCCGGGGCTCTCGGTGACCTCCCGGTGCCTCAGCCCCGATTTCCCTCGGCAGCCGCGCTGGGCACGGCCCAGGTGACGTCGGAGGACAAGGAAGTGCCGGAGCACAAACGTGAGTGTCCCCAAGGTCCCCGCGGTGTCACCGGCCCCGTCACCCCAGGGGACACCCCCGAGCCAGGGGGGAGGGCTCCACCTGGGGGGGTTTGGGGTCAGCCTGGTTTGGGTGGTCCCAGTTTGGGGTGGTCCCAGTTTGGGGTGGTCCCAGTTTGGGGTGATTCCGGTTCGGGCTGACCCTCATTTGGACCAATCCCAGTTTGAGCTGATCCCAGTTCTGGCTGATCCCAGTTCTGGCTGATCCCAGTTCTGGCTGATCCCGGTTCTGGCTGATCCCAGTTCTGGCTGATCCCAGTTCTGGGCTGATCCCAGTTCTGGCTGATCCCGGTTCTGGCTGATCCCAGTTCTGGCTGATCCCAGTTCTGGGCTGATCCCAGTTCTGGCTGATCCCGGTTCTGGGCTGATCCCGGTTTGAGCTGATCCCAGTTCTGGGCTGATCCCGGTTCTGGGCTGATCCCGGTTCTGGCTGATCCCGGTTCTGGCTGATCCCGGTTCTGGTTGAGCCCAGTTCTGGGCTGATCCCGGTTCTGGGCTGATCCCGGTTCTGGTTGATCCCGGTTCTGGGCTGATCCCGGTTCTGGTTGATCCCGGTTCTGGCTGATCCCGGTTCTGGCTGATCCCGGTTCTGTTCCCTGCAGCCGTGGACATTCCCTGCGCCGCGTTCCGCTCCAGCGGGAGCAACCCCCGGATCGAGTGGAAGTTCCAGAAGGGCTCGTCCCTGGTGCTCATCTTCTACGAGGGGAAGCTCACAGGTACCGGGGACACCGGGGGGACATTGGGGGGACAGCGGGGAGCCCTGAGCCTGTGGGGACATTGGGGGGTCCCTGTGGGGCCATGGAGGTGGCACTGTGGGGCCCCAGCTTTGTGTCCTGCAGAGCTGTACTGGGGGGACACTGGGGTGTCCCTATGGGGGCTGTGGGGGTCCCTGGGGTGTCCCTGTGGGGCTGTGGGGGGTCCCTGTGGGGGTCCCTGTGGGGTGTCCGTGCCACATCCCAGCCCGGTGTCCCCGAGTCGTACTGGGGTGTCCCTGTGGGGGTCCCTGTGGGGGTCCCTGTGGGTGTCCCTGTGGGTCTGTGGGTGTCTCTGTGGGGGTCCCTCTGGGGGTCCCTGTGGGTCTGTGGAGGTCCCTGTGGGGGTCCCTGTGGGGTGTCGGTGCCAGGTCCCAGCCTGGTGTCCCCCAGAGTCGTACCAGGACCGTGTCCAGTTCTCCCGCACGTCGATCCGGTTCCAGTCGGTGACGCGGGAGGACAGCGGGAAGTACATCTGCGAGGTGGTGGGGGATGGCAACCACATCACCAAGTCCGAGGTCAACCTCATCGTCCAAGGTGAGGCCACCCCCTGTCCCCATCCCTGTCCCTGTCCCATGGCTGGGTGGCTCTGGGCACTGCTGTCACTGTCCCCATTCCCATCCCTGTCCCCATCCCTGTCCCTGGGGTGGCTCAGGGCAGTGCTGTCCCTGTCCCTGTCCCTGGGGTGGCTCCAGGAGGTCCTGTCACTGTCCCTGTCCCCATCCCCATCCTTGTCCTGGGGGTGGCTCCAGGAAGTCCTGTCCCTGTCCCCAGGGTGGCTCCAGGCAGTGCTATCACTGTCCCCGTCCCCGTCCCTGTCCCTCGGAGTGCTGTCCCTGTCCCTGGGGAGGCTCTGGGCAGTGCTGTCACTGTCCATGTCCCCATGTCTGTCCCCGTGTCTGTCCCCATCCCTGTCCCCATGTCTGTCCCCATCCCTGTCCCCGTATCTGTCCCCGTGTCTGTCCCCATCCCTGTCCCCGTGTCTGTCCCCATGTCTGTCCCCATTTGTGTCCCGACCCCTGTCCCCATCCCTGTCCCCACCCCTGTGTCCCCGTCCCTGTCCCTGTGTCCCCACCCCTGTCCCCATGGCTGTCCCCATCCCTGTCCCTGTGTCTGTCCCCGTGTCTGTCCCTGTGTCCCCATCCCTGTCCCCACCCCTGTCCCCACCCCTGTCCCCACCCCTGTCCCCGTCCCTGTCCCCACCCCTGTCCCGGTGTGTCCGCAGTGCCCCCCGGGAAGCCGGTCGCGCACGTTCCCAGCTCAGCCACGGTTGGTTCCCGGGCCGTGCTGCGCTGCTCCGAGGCCCAGGGCTCGCCCCCTCCCACCTTCCGCTGGTACAAGGACGGCACCGAGCTGCCCCCGGACCCCAAATCCAGCCCCGCCTTCCGCAACTCCTCCTACAGCCTGGACCCGCGCAGCGGGGAGCTGGTCAGTGCCGGGGGCGCTCCTGCCCTTTTCCTTTCCCTGTTTTCCCTTTTCCCTGTTTTCCCTTTTCCCTGTTTTCCTGTCCCTTTTCCCTGTTTTCCTGTCCCTTTTCCCTGTTTTCCTGTCCCTTTTCCCTGTTTTCCTGTCCCTTTTCCCTGTTTTCCTGCCCCTTTTCCCTGTTTTCTCTGCTTTTCTCCCTTTTCCTGCCCCTTTTCCCTGTTTTCCTGCCCCTTTTCCCTGTTTTCCTGTCCCTTTTCCCTGTTTTCCTGTCCCTTTTCCCTGTTTTCCTGTCCCTTTTCCCTGTTTTCCTGTCCCTTTTCCCTGTTTTCCTGTCCCTTTTCCCTGTTTTCCTGCCCCTTTTCCCTGTTTTCCTGCCCCTTTTCCCTGTTTTCTCTGCTTTTCTCCCTTTTCCTGCCCCTTTTCCCTGTTTTCCTGTCCCTTTTCCCTGTTTTCCTGTCCCTTTTCCCTGTTTTCCTGTCCCTTTTCCCTGTTTTCCTGCCCCTTTTCCCTGTTTTCCTGCCCCTTTTCCCTGTTTTCTCTGCTTTTCTCCCTTTTCCTGCCCCTTTTCCCTGTTTTCCTGTCCCTTTTCCCTGTTTTCCTGTCCCTTTTCCCTGTTTTCCTGTCCCTTTTCCCTGTTTTCCTGTCCCTTTTCCCTGTTTTCCTGCCCCTTTTCCCTGTTTTCCTGTCCCTTTTCCCTGTTTTCCTGCCCCTTTTCCCTGTTTTCCTGTCCCTTTTCCCTGTTTTCCTGTCCCTTTTCCCTGTTTTCCTGTCCCTTTTCCCTGTTTTCCTGTCCCTTTTCCCTGTTTTCCTGCCCCTTTTCCCTGTTTTCTCTGCTTTTCTCCCTTTTCCTGCCCCTTTTCCCTGTTTTCCTGTCCCTTTTCCCTGTTTTCCTGTCCCTTTTCCCTGTTTTCCTGTCCCTTTTCCCTGTTTTCCTGTCCCTTTTCCCTGTTTTCCTGTCCCTTTTCCCTGTTTTCCTGTCCCTTTTCCCTGTTTTCCTGCCCCTTTTCCCTGTTTTCCTGCCCCTTTTCCCTGTTTTCTCTGCTTTTCTCCCTTTTCCTGTCCCGTTTCCTGCCCCTTTTCCCTGTTTTCTCTGCTTTTCTCCCTTTTCCTGTCCCTTTTCCCTGTTTTCCTGTCCCTTTTCCCGCCCCTTTTCCCATGTTTTCCTCTCCCTTTTCCCTGTTTTCTCTCCTTTTCCTGTCCCTTTTCCTGCCCCTTTTCCCCTATTTACTCTCCTTTTCTCCCTTTTCCTGTCCCTTTTCCCTGTTTTCCTGTCCCTTTTCCCTGTTTTCTCTCCTTTTCCCATGTTTTCCTCTCCCTTTTCCCTGTTTTCCTCTCCCTTTTCCCTGTTTTCTCTCCTTTTCCTGTCCCTTTTCCTGCCCCTTTTCCCCTATTTTCTCTCCTTTTCTCCCTTTTCCTGTCCCTTTTCCCTCTTTTCTCTTTTTTCTCCCTTTTCCTGCCCCTGTTCCCAGTTTTCTCTCCTTTTCTCCCTTTTCCTGTCCCTTTTCCCTGTTTTCCTCTCCCTTCCCCCTTTTTCTATCCCTTTTCCTGTTTTCTTCTCAATTTCCCTCTTTCCTGTTCCTTTTTCCTCTTTTCCTCTCCTTTTCCTGTCCCTTTTCCCTATTTTCCTCTCTCTTTCCCCCTTTTCCTTCCCCTTTTCCTGTTTCCTCTCCATTTCCCCACTCTCTCTCCCGTTTTTCCCCCTTTTCCCTGATCCCTGCCCCATTCCAGGTTTTTGAGCCGGTGGGGGGCTGGGACACGGGCGATTATCACTGCGAGGCCTCCAACAACGTGGGGACCCCCCAGAAATCCGACGTGTTCCGCATGGAAGCCAGTAAGGAGCGATCCCGATCCCATCCCCGATCCCATTCCCGATCCCATTCCCATCCTCGATCCCATTCCTGATCCCATTCCTATCCCAAATCCCATCCCCGATCCCATTCC